TTCTTCTCCGGTCCCGACAACTCTCTTATATCCGGGTTAGACTGTACAGTGTAACCCGGATATAAGAGACCCGGATATAAGATAGATTTTCTCTGGTCCCAAATTAGAGCCTGTGTTAATGTATATAAAATAGACCAAACCCGGATATAAGAGAAACCCGGATATAAGAGACTTCTCCGGTCCCGACAACTCTCTTATATCCGGGTTACACTGTACCTAAATCGGCAGCAATTAAAACCATACGACAACAGAGTTCGTTTTTTTTAAATCACAAATAGTCAATAAGAGTTCAGGAAACCCTAAAACATACACAGATTTCTCTGCATCACAAAACTTTACTTAATCAGTCAGTCAATTATGAGCGATGCGTAATACACGCTTAGGTGATCACGTATGTTTCGATACATAACTTACGCGGCAGAATTTTTTCCCAGCATTTAAGGCTAAAGAAGCCAGTCTGTCCTGCTATTTACCCGTAGCTAGGGGGGAGAAGAAGAGAATTCATACCTTTCCCAAGGGTCAGTCAGTCAGTCTGTTATGTGACATTAAAAGAACAAGAGTTAAGAGTGTAGATAACGATTGACATTGCCTTTAAATTTTTGAAGATTGTTATATAGGAATAAAGTGTCGCTACCTAGTTTGACCAGTGAGCAAACACAGGCGATCACGTGACCATAGAGGAAACGCATGAGTGAAAAGTAGCGTGACGAATAGTCTATCTTCTATTAATATAGGGACCGCTATTCGCTACTCTGTTCACTATCAGCCAGTTATGTGCCGTGCGTGATACACGCTTAGGCGATCATGTATCTTTCGATATATGACTTACGAGGCAGATTTTTTCCAGCAGTAGGTTGCCATTTCTTTCTGCAATAGAACAGTTGCCATCTAAGGCTATAGAACCCGGTCTGTCCTGCTATTTTCCCATAGCTGGGGGGGTGGAGAAGAAGAGGATTCATACCTTTCCCAAGGGTATTAGCACGTAAGTGAATGTAATGGATTCGACTGGAATTCGAACTCGGCTCTCCGATTTCTTCATACCAACCGTTAACCATTACTCCACCGTGCCTCCTCTTTTACTCAATATTGATTCAAAATGGCTTGAACCTAAATGGCTTCATGTATTTTCTAGAATTTTGAACATCAAATATATTTTTTTAATCAGGAAAAAAACAATTTTGATATTTAAATAAGTTATATAACTAATTTCGTTATCTAAGAAAGAAAAACTTACGGAAAACATCAAATAAAACAAAACAATATTTGCACTGGTTTACTCCGATCAATTTATCGATTTATGGTTTGGTTTGGTTTGGTTTGTTTTATGGAATATCAACAATTCAATGGGTCATTTAATGCCGACAACTTTTTTTTTTTGGTAATATTTTTGTTTTGTCAAAAATCTATTTCTGTTAATATTTTTTCCCTCAAAAATGTATACCTGATAATATTATTTTTTCAAAAACGTATAGCTGGTAATATTATTTTTTCAAAAACTTATATTTGGTAATATTATTTTTTTAAAAAACGTATTATTGATAATATTATTTTTTCAAAAACGTATAGCTGGTAACATTATTTTTTTCAAAAACGTATTGCTGGCAATAGTTTTTTTTTTAAAAAAAAACGTATTGCTGGTAATAGTTTTTTAAAAACTATTAAAAAACTATTACCACCAATAGGTGGTAATAGTTTTTTTCTTCAAAAACTTATTGCTGGTAATATTGTATAATTCTTTTTACCTCAGTTTCGGGGTTAACTATTTGCCCATAGCTGGGATCCTAACAGGCACTACCACCCCGGGTCAGGGTGGACCTGGGAACACCAGCAAATTAAGAGGTGGTTCCATGCTCCTAAAAACCTCCTGATCAAAGGCCTTGCTGTTGGACGTAGTTTATGGTCTTACCCAGGATGCAGATGCAGTTTATCGTCACACCCAGGACAGTTATAGATTTATGTTATCAGCCGGCGGTGGTGACCCCCAGCGCGTGGCACCTTTGGAAAGACCTTGAAATTCATACAACGAGCCTTGTGAGTGAAATTAGAACTATTTGGGAGCCATCGTTGGTTTTGCTAGCACGTAGTCACAAGTCATCGTGACCGAGAGTTTGAGTGTGCTAGCCTTGTTCGATAATTCGCTATCCCCCCAGAAACTCTAAGCACAGTTAACTCAGCATAGCTACAGTATACTCCACAGGTGAGCTCTGTGGTTGATGAACAAAAACAAATATGTCTAAGCTAATAGACGGGCATCCTTCGCCGTTTTAGACTGGTGCTCTGCTGAACAATCTTAACCACCCCAAGTCTAGGATTAACCATTTAGGCATTTAGAGAAAATTCTTCTAGCTTGAAAAGTGCAAGTAGTTTTGAAAAAAGTACACAAACTTCAATCTTTAGGTGATACTTTGAATTATATATAATAATAATAATAGACTCTCTCGTCGGTTTCGACGTATGAGGATCTGACAGCTTAATTGATTTAGTTATGAAATGTGCGATAATCTTCAGTGACACTTAAGACCCGCTCCTGATTTACAAAGGAGGTCACATATGTAGCAAGAGTGAGAATTTTGAGATGAGATCACTGTTAGATTGGCTGACCTTTTAGATCTTGCTCTTGCTTCTTGGAGACGATTCAGACAAGCAGATTGAAAACTGCTCAGTCCACTAAAACACGTTGATCTACATTCTATCCGCTCCAAGGCTAATCGCTCAAGGGTGTTATGTGGTATAATGACAGCTGACAAGTTAAATTATATATATATATATATATATATATATATATATATATATATATATATATAAGGGCATGTGTCTATTTTTAGACTATGAGACCCAAGTTTAATTCTCATCATGGTTGAATTGGTAAAAAAGGTGACTTCTTGATGTTATCAGATTGGAGAGGGGATCCCAGTGTGTGACACCTTTGGAAAGTGCCTAAAAGCCACGCCATAGTTTGAACCAAGCCTTATGAGTAAAATTGGGTAGACCGTACGATTTGGCAGCCGTCGATAGATTTGTTAGCAGAAAGTTACGAGGCCTCATGACTTACTGGCTTTGTTCCGGCTGCTAATCATGCCAGATTATGCACTCTCTTCCAGAAACTGTAACTAAGGTCCGCTCTACAGAGCTGCTGTATAAACCACAGGTTGGTTCTGTGGGTGCTGAACAAATACAAATGTGTTTGAGCTGGCGTCTGCAACAAGGATTGGCTACTTCTGTTCATTATTAAGGTGTTTATTTTTACATGATTAATTTCAAAATACGCTTGCATAAAATACCTGAAAGAAAACCAAAAAAAGCTAATAAACGAGAAAGTTATTAAACTTTCAGATTCCTTGATGACTACTTACATTATTCGGACTGTTATCCTCATCTTCATTGCCATATTCAGAATGTTTCGGTCGTTGTACACGCCAGCCTTCTTCAGGTGATTGGAATTTCGAACCTGAGATATTATTTCGTGCACTGGGGTAGATTGTTGTAGATCCACATGCCATGCCTCTTCCGGATGTCTCAGTTATTTGCCTTTAACTAATCTCTCTACGTTTTGGTTCACCACTGCTGTGGTTTGGTATTGAACTCACATCACTTTGGGTCTAGTCACTGGATCTAGCCAACTTCTTTATCCAGTTGGGCATGGATCCTTGAGGATTTATGGCCCACAGGATAAAGACGTTGGTTATTTAAAGGGAAATAACTGAGACATATGTAAGCGGCATTGGACGTGGAACAAGAACAATGACTAGAAGTAACCATTTAGGCATTTAGAAAGAGAACATGCCTCTGACTTGAAGAGGGCTAATAAATTAGTTTTGAAAAAAGGTACACAAACTCCATTTCATAATATATATATATATATATATATATATATATATATTATATAATATATATATATATATATATATATATATATATATATATATATATATATATATTATGAAATGGAAAAAGTCCGACAATTATTTTAAGACGTTGTTATGTACATACATTCTTTTTATAGATACAAATATTTAAGCAAATGCTCTGTTTATAATAAACACTTTTAAACAACAATTACCGGTTTGAATGTCCGAGAAATTGTCATAGAAAATATGAGTCCTCCGACAGGAATCGAACCTGTATCCTATACGAGACCGTCATTTAGCCTAACGTGCTTTAACCGTTTTGGCCACAGAGGAGCGTCCGGTTAGCAAGGTCGATTTTACTGTCTTTAAACTACAATCTTCCATGATTCTCTCAAGTACATTTTTATCTGCTCATGGCGTATCCAAATGTTAACAAATGACATCACACATTATGAAATGGACAAAGTCCGATAAATTATTTTAAGACATTTTATGTTTATACATTCTTTTTATAGATACAAGTATTTAAATAAATGCTCTGTTTATAATAAACAGCATTAACAACATTTACCGGCCTGAATGTCCGAGAAATTTTCATAGAAAATATTTGTCCTACGACAGTGCACGTCAGGCTATATGACGGTTCCGTGTAAGATACAGGTTCGATTCCTGGACGAATATTTTCTATGAAATATGATATATCTGTATGTATTCTCCATATATATATATATATATATATATATATATATATGTATGTATGTGTGTGTGTGTGTGTGTGTGTGTGAAAAGTGTGTGTATATAAATATATATATATATATATATATATATATATAATTATTTATATATTATATGCGTGGTACTTATTAGAAAGCGCTCAATATCAGAGATAGAGCTAACATATATATATATATATATATATATATATATATATATATATATATATATGGTACATATGAAAATCCGCAAGCATGCTGACCAGATTTTACAACACAGACCAAGCCTTGTACAAAACAACTTATTTCGCTACATCTGCAATAACGATTGCTGGCTTCAAGAGTTATTGCAGTTCTTTCGAGAACCAAAAGCATTGATCAGTAGTCATCATACTCATGGAACGAGTCGAAAGTCATAGATAGACTTTTCTAAATTTACATATGTAGATAGATAGATAGATAGATAGATAGATAGACAGATAGATAGATTAGATGGCGTTTATTGCTTCGCTTGGTTGTGAAATGATAAAAACCTTGACAGATATATATATCTATATATATATATATATAGAAAAAGTTTCAAATTAAAAATTATAATGTTTTATTTTATGAAAGTATTTATTTATTTATATATATATTTGATATTTCAAATTGTCCTCAATTTTTCATCAGAAATAACTGTTTGTTACAAATAAATTAAAATTACTGTTTGTTGGCAAGTAGCGTCCTTCGAGAGACGCGGACGTCACGTGATATGGAACGTCACTGTTCAGATATTCCTAACTTAAATCTAACTGTCATAAATATTTTAAAAAATATTTTTTTACTATATCTAAAGAAATTGCTTAGCTATTGAAATATTTATAAAGATTTAAAACACCTAAGTCCCTATTCAACCCCTAATTTATGTGTATTTAATTTTAAAATCCAGTATGTTTTTTTTTTTCTGCGTGTGAATGTGGAAGTAAAATCGGAATCTATTAATAAACATTTGCAGTTTTCTAATGTGTCCTGATTGATTGTAGTGTTTTAGCTATGGGGGGAATAAGGGTTGTTTTGACGTATTGTTTGTTTATGGTTATTAAAACGAAATCTAAAATTGTTTCCAGACTCACCAATATATCCACTATTAGGACATAAGTTGCAGAATAAATAATAGATTACGTTATGGGTATCGCAGGTGAGGTTAGGTGGCTGTATCCTGATATTGGTGTTGGGTACGTAAAATGTATTAGCTATTACTAAATGTTTGCAAACTAAGCAACGAGGTTTGTTACATTTGTAATTTCCTGTTTGGTTTCTATTGTTTAGATATTTGGTAGAGGTGAGGATAGCTGATAAGTTAGGTGATTGTTTCATTGCATTTATGGGTGGTTTATCGAAAATGTCTTTGATCTTGTTGTCTAATTGGAGGTTCTTGTCATCATTTTTTAAATTGTGAATAAGTGTGTGGGAATATTGATTGTGGTTAAAAACCATGGGAATCCGATTGTTGTTTTTATTTTTCTTGTATGTGAGAAGTGTGTTACGATTTATCAGGATAGTTTTATTTAGTGCTTCTTTTATTATTTTTATTGGGTATTTGCATTTTTAGGAATTGTTTTGTTAAGTTATTAATATTGTATAGAAAATCTAAATGGTCTGAGCATATGCGTTTGGTTCTAAGAAATGAGCTGTATACAATAGATTTTTTTAATTTAAAGGGATGACAGCTGTTAAAGTGTAGGAATTTATGTTGGTTTGTGGGTTTGTTGTATAGACTGGTAGAAAGTGTATGTTTGTTTAATTTTATCATAACGTCTAAGAAAGGGATGGATGTGTATGAGTGCTCCATGGTAAATTTAATTGTATCGTGGAAATTGTTGCAGAAAGTGAAAAAAAAGGTTTTTAATTTTTCTGATCCATGAGTCCATAATAAGAAAATGTCATCAATATATCTAAAGTAATGTGATGGTTTATATTCCGAATTGTCTAGTATCTTCTTTTCTAGAATGTGCATAAAGATATTAGCATAACTAGGTGCCATTTTTGTGCCCATTGCTGTGCCACTAATCTGTAAATAGTGTTTGTTGTTGTATTTAAAATTATTATGTGTTAAGATGAACTTTATTAATTGGCATATATCTGTAATTTGGTAGTTAGGTAATTTTTTTTGTTACTAAGGAACTCATAGCAAGCTGATACTCCTTCAACATGTGGAATGTTCGTGTAAAGGGACGAAACATCCATCGTTACTAGGATTGTATCATGGTGGACTAAGTTAATGTTTTGTAATTTGCTGAGAAAGTCAGTAGTGTCTCTAATATAACTAGGTATGTCAGGCAATAAAGGTTTTAGGATATTGTCTATGTACCCAGATATAAGTTCTGTGAGGGTGCCAATGCCTGATATTATGGGTCTACCAGGTGGCATGATTTTAAGGGTTTTTGAAATTTCATAGATGTTCTCTTCATTATTTGATTGTGTAATTTGATGTGGGTCGGATGAAAAAGTGTTAGGGTGTTTTTCTGAAATGATTTTGGGGAGTTTATGTAGTTTTGGGATAGTGTAGAATGTTGCTGTTTTAGGGTTCTCAGGAATAAGAGATTTTATGGTATTTTTTATGTTGTAGTTCAGGTTCTGAGTGAGAAGTGATAATTCTGTTTTGAATGTGCTAGTTGGGTCTAGAGGTAAGGGTACATAGAATCTGTTATTTTGAAGTTGTGATTCTGATTCTTTAATGTAGTGGTTAGTGTCTAAGATGGTTATAGCTCCGCCCTTGTCGGCTGGTACGATAATTATGTCTCGTTGTTTTTTAAGAGTATAGATGGCTTGGTGTTCTATTTTGGATAAGTTGTATTTTTTATCTGGTATCCTTTGTTTTTAAGAAGTAATCCATGTGTTGTCTGGCTTTGTGGGCATATTGATCCAAGTGTTGGTTACGTCCGCTTGGTGGGGTCCATATATTGTTCTTCGTCGGAGGAAGTTTGGAGCATGATTGGTTAGCGCTGTTGTCTGTATTAGAAGTAGGTTTGTTGTCTGAGAAATATTCTTTTTAGTCTCAGTCTACGAAGGTATTTTTTCCATATCGTAGCAAAGGTTTAGAGGTTTTAGTGGTTGTGAGGGGCAGAATGATAATCCTTTATTTAATAAAGAGGTTTCTCCTTGGGTGAGAGTGTATTTAGATAGGTTAGCGATGTGGTTGTCAGCAGAGGTAGTATTGGTGTAGTGAACATAATGAGATCTTCGTGGGATCTGTTGTATTAAATAATCTTTCAGGTAAGTTATGTGTTGTAAAATGGGGTCCTCAGCAATTAGTTTATTGAGTTTTTGGTTTTTCAAAAATATACACTGTGTCATATATATAGACAGATGCATATGTGAATAAATTAAGATAGATGGATAGCGAGCAGATTGAGGTAGCTACTTAGCGCACTAGATAGATAGATAGATAGATAGATAGATAGATAGATAGATAATGAACAGACCGAGAGAGAAACAAAAATAGATAATAAAAAACAGACCGAGATAGAAAGAAAGAAAGAAAGAAAGAAAGGATATGAACGGACTAAAATAGATAGATAGATAGATAGAATTAGAAAGAAAGAAAGAAAGAAAGAAAGAAAGAAAGAAAATGAAATAAAAATCATATTCGAGGAAAAATGGTTTTAAGAAAGAGAAAAGAAAGGAAAAAGAATGAAAAAGAAAGAAAAAGAAAGAAACATATTCAACGAAAACGAGTTTGTCAAAAGAAAGAAAAGAAAGAAACCACATCCAACGAAAGAGTATTTTTCAAAAAAGAAAGAAAGAAAGAAAGAAAGAAAGAAAGAAAGAAAGAAAAGAAAAGCAATTAGGATAAAAACCAAGTCAGAATGAAAAAGATTAAATGAGAAATAGATAAATTCTCCCACCCCCATCTAAGTCTAAATATAGATAATGCGTGTGGATCTATCTATCTATCTATCTATCCATCTATCTATCTATCTATCTATCTATCTGTGTGTGTGTGTTTGTATGTGTGTGTGCGTGTGTGGGTTGGAGGGCAGATAATTATGTAAACAGATATGAGCAGACTGCGATATCGAACCAGACAATGACTGAATAAAAATTGGTTAAGAGCTCGGAACAAAATGAAATAGTTACGCATATATGAACAGCTTTAGATTAGACAGATAGATATGAACAGACTGAAATAGATAGATAGATAGATAGATAGATAGATAGATAGATAGATATGAACAGACTGAAATAGATAGATAGATAGATAGATAGATAGATAGATAGATATGAATAGACTGAAATAGATAGATAGATAGATAGATAGATAGATAGATATGAATAGACTGAAATAGATAGATAGATAGATAGATAGATAGATAGATATGAATAGACTGAAATAGATAGATAGATAGATAGATAGATAGATAGATAGATAGATAGATATGAACAGACTGAAATAGATAGATAGATATGAACAGACTGAGATAGATAGATAGATAGATAGATATGAACAGACTGAGATAGATAGATAGATAGATATGAACAGACTGAAATAGATAGATAGATAGATAGATATGAATAGACTGAGATAGATAGATAGATAGATAGATAGATAGATAGATAGATAGATAGATAGTCCTTCTTTTGTTTTTGTTTTTCGCTATTGTGGCTCTTTTCCCATGTCCACATTGTCTACATAGTTGTATATGATAGATAGATAGATAGAAACCTTGTATATGTATACGAACAGACTGATATGTAGAGGGATATAGATAGATATGAACGGATTGAGATAGATAGATAGATAGTTAGAACTTGTTTTTCTTTTATTTTACTTTTTCGTTATTGCTGTTTTTTCCTATGTCCATAGTGTCTACACAGATGTAATATGAACATTGTGATATTATCTAAAAATAAATACGCTCAAATTCACCTTCATCCCTGCCGTGCGCCAACGTAGAATCCCCGACTGACGCCATTTCAGTCGAGTTTCGATCCTCGCTAGAGGCAACCAGACGTCTAGCCACACTGATGAGCTGTGATACAGCGATACGGTCTGTGGTTGATATATATGCTCCTGAAACTTTTATTTCGGTTGATCTCTCTGTAGAGGAAGTGTACGTTTGTAAACAGTGGCTATTACGACTAATAATGCAAGACTCTTCGGTAAATCGAATCGAGTTCTCTCAGCCACGGTGTGTTTATCTAAAAATAAATACGTTTAAATTCACCTTCATCCCTGCCGTAGTAGAATCCCCGTCTGTGTCTGTGGATGACAATTTGAAAAATTTATTTCGGTTGAGCTCTCTGGGGAGGAAGTGTGGGTTTGTAAATTGTGATGATTACAGCTAATAATGCAAGACACTTCGGTAAATCGAATCGAATTCTCTCTATCACTGTCTCAAAATAAATACGTTTAAATTCACATTCATCCCTGCCGTTGTAGAATCCCCGACTGACGCCTATTCAGTCGGGTTTCGATCCTAGCTAGAGGCAACCAGACGTCTAGCCACACTGATGAGCTGTGATAAAGCGAAACAGTCTGTCTGTGGATGACAATACATATATATATATATATATATATATATATATATATATATATATATATATGAACATGCTGCGATAGAAAGAAAGAAAGAAAGAAAGAAAGAAGAAGAAAATCAACTAAGCTCACCTACATAAACGCGATAATATTGACCACCAAATAGATCTTATATTATTTCCCTATTTATTGCCTGAATATATGCGTGAGTTTAGTCAGAAGGTTGGGAAAAATTAGTAATTGCCATTTTCGCCTAATTGCATCAAAGTTAAACTTTATAACTGCCCACCGGGAGCCATTCACATATCAGATATCTTCTTTAATATTCGATTTTTCAACAAATCTTCTAAAAATTGCAAATGCCTGATAGTCTATTTCGTCGGGGAGATTATATTTATAAGGTTGCTAGGTAGGGAAACGTTAGATGCGTTCAGGTAATTTATACAACTGAGATATCAATTGCGTACGGATTACTCCCCAGAGAGTGGTACAGACGAAAAGCACAGATAATTATGTTACGGCTATAAAAAAAAAAAAAGAGAGACAAAGAAAAAAAACGTAAAATAAAAAATAGAAAAAATAATTCATAAAAAAGAAAAAAAATGGTGTATTTATAAATAAAGAAAAGAAAGAGTAAATGAAAAATAGATTTAAAAAAATCGAAAAGGAAAAAAAGAAAAAGCGACGATAGGAAGAAAGAAAGAAAAGAAACGTGAAATTGAAGAAAAATAAAAAAAAAAGGCAAAGAAAGATATGGTGAGGAAGAAAAGAAAAATAACTGGAAAAGAAAACAAAAAGAAATAAACAACAAACATTCAAACAAATAAACAAAAATTAAATAAAAGGGAAAAAAGAGAGATTAATAAGAAAGAAAGAAAGAAAGAAAGAAAGAAAGAAAGAGAGAAAATAAAAAATAAAAAGACTAAAAGCGAGAAAGAAAGAAAGAAAGAAAGAAGAAAATGAAGAGGAATTAAGAACAAAAAAGAAAGCAACAAAGAATGAAGGCATAAATCAGAAATAGAAAGGAAACAAAAGATGGACATGAAAGAAAGAAAGAAAGAAAGAAAGAGAAAGAAAAAAAGAAACAAACAAACAAACAAACAAAAAAAGAAAGAAAGGAAGAAAGAAAGAAAGAAAGAAAATTAATGAAAATCATATTCATGAAAAAATAATTTAAAGAAACAAAGAAATCATATGCAACGAAAAAAATATTCAAAGAAAGAAAGAAAGAAAGAAATGAAAAGAAATAAGAATAAAAGCCAAGCTAGAATGAAAGAAAGATTAAATGAGAAATAGAAGAGATAGATTGTCAGAAATAAAGAAAAAAGAAAGAAAGAATGAAAAAAAGAATGAAAAAGAAAGAAAAATAAGCAAAGAAAAAAGAAAGATAGAAAGAAAGAATGAAAAAAGAATGAAAAAGAAAGAAAAATAAACAAAGAAGAAATAAAGAATAAGAAAGAAAGAAAAAAAGAAAGAAAGCAAAAAACATAGGAAAAAAGCAAAAAAAAAGAAAGAAAAAGCAAAAAAGAAACAAAGAGAGAAAGAAAAGAAAAAAAAGAAAGAAAGAAAGAATAAAAACCGATTGAATGGAGAAAGCGCTAAAAATAATATCTTTATTATCATTTATTGAACTAGTTTTAATTTCAATCAATGAATTCTCATTTTTCATTTTTCTGCCACTGGGATCGAAATCACCAGCGGCCTAAAA